GCTAGACCTAGGGATATACGCTTTATAAATTCACTGATAATTTCCCCAAGAACCCTGCAGGGTTTTTATCATTTCCAATCTATAGATGAGAAAACGGGCACAGAATTTGGATGCCCTTTCGCAGGCCATGAGAACAAGGCGGCAGAAGTCAGAGCAGCACCGCACATTAGGGACCAGGCTGTTGGAAGGGAGCAGAGGAAGCTGGAAGAGCACACTGCCCACCTGTGCTGGGATGTCACTGTTGAAATGAAGCCTGTCTCCCAGAAGTATTGTGTTGCTTGTATTTCAGAGTCTGGTATCAGATAGACAGAGCTCTGCGTTCACCATGTGGTCTACCCATATGTTTGCCCTTGCGTCCCTTGCTTTTGAAGTCCCTCTAATGGTTTTAATTCCTCATTACTGTATAAAGAGGATTTAATTTTTGGCATCCGGATATGCTATGCGTGGTTCTTGGATGCTAGTAGAGTAGAAGGCTGGGAGAACTGCCAGGGGTGAGGGGTGAGGAAAAAGTGTATATGGCAGGTTTCCCCAGTAGGGTGAAGGGGACATACGCTTCTAAAGATATTTAGACTGTTTGCAGACAGTGATCCTTCCCAGATCACCTGCTTGTCTATTCAGAGTCCCAGGTGATAGGGCATCTGTCCCTAAGAGCCCACCCAACCTGGCCCGAGGCAGGTCAACCAGTAGGTTGGCTTGTGCCGTGTGGCTTATGTGCCACCCAGAAGAAGAGTTGAGTCCTCTCTTAGGCCTAGGAAGTGATTTAATTCCAGGCTTAGATTGCCATTCAAGGCTTGCCTTCAAGTCCTATGGGAAGGGATTAGTCTCAAGGAATGAGAAAGAGGAAAAAGGACCTCCAGGGACTGGGATAGGGCTCAGAAGTGAGGTCACATGGCCCATGGGAAGAAAAGAGCATTCAGTCCCCACCCTTGAGCTGCTTGGCCCCAGCTCCACCACTGTCTCTTCATTGGCAGTGATCAACCTTCCCAAAGCTACAACCCTTTAATACTGTTCCTCATGCTGTGGTGACCCCCAGGTGTAAAATTATTGCATCAAACTTCATATCTGTAATTTTGATACTGTCATGAATTGTAATGTAAATATCTGATACGCAGGATATCTGATATGTGACCCCCAATGAGTTGCTACTCATGCATTTTGAACCCATTGTCCTAAGGCATCATGCCTTGTTCATAGTAGGCCACGGGACTTATCCAGCGTGAGTAGATTAGTTGCTTGTCACATATAAGTTAAAACACAAGTTCCTAAGCAGGTAAGGCAAAATTGCAACCTTAAGCAAAAGAAAGTGGATGAGAGAAGTAAGTGCCTGTGTAGAACAGTGACGCGCCTCCTGTAGCATTAGAAGGACTGTCCCTGCACCCAGACCTCTGGCCATGCCTCCCGTCCACAGTAACAGTCGTCTTCAGGTTAGGCTCATGCTGCAAACAGCCTGAAGACACGACACAAGCAGTCTCACACCTGTCCTTAGGAAAGCAAGTCCACGCACGAGTCACCCTGACATGCTTATGCTATGGAGACAGATCTGTTGGCAGTCAATAAGGGAAGCTTGAGACTTGGGGAAGAGATAAGGTTGAATCTACAAATTTGGGAGTGTTTGTGCTGTCGTTCTGACTGATGGATGGGTTTTAAAAAAACATACAAGGTAGTTTCCAAGCTTTGGATTCCCAGAAGGTTCTCCAGGCCCTATCAGTGAAGAGACAGTTGTCAAATAAAATACTCTAGATCAGTCCTTCAGTGACTTGCCTCCCAGCTGAGTTCCTGAGAGGCTAACTTGTCTCCCCAGTTCTTTCTTTTATCTAACATGAAAGCCAGGTAGGGGTTAGCTGGGGGTACCCACTGGCACCCAATCCTAATGACCTGGCCTGCATTTCCACTTGCCACTTAGTGCTGCACGGCCCGCCCCCTTGTCTTGCTCAGCGTGGCATATCCATGCTGTCTCATTCAATAGCTTATTAGCCCATGAGGTGTACCTTCCTCCCATGATTAATTCAGAGTCCTGCTGGGAATTGAGATAAAGCACCTGCCTCTTTGGCTGTGGGGTCTTTTGGGAGCTCTATAAATTTGCATCTCGGGTGTATGAAGGAAAGACGAGGGAGAATGGAATTCTCCCCGATTATAACCCATCTCCTGTGGGCTTTCAGGCGCAGCTTGCCTCACAGTTTTTCTCCCACAGTTAAGGCTAAATCATTTGACCTCGACTGAGGAATTTTAAATATTTTAAAGAGTCCGTTTCCTCCCCTAAATTTAGATGGAACTCTAGGAGATTGCCATTTTGCAAAAGCAAACCAGCTGACTCTCCGCAGCATCATACCGTTCCGTTTGCGAAGAGCTAAGGATGGAGGCCCTGGGGATGAAAGTGGAAGACATTTTAGGCACGCTTTGAATAGCTCGCCAGTGATCTCTCAAATATCTTAGTTCAGATCACCCACACACCACCTCAAAAACACACCGCAGTGATTGATGGTTGGTTGTTCTTTATTTGGGATGTTACACAGTCAGTATCAAGATCCTCCAAGATGTTCTCATCTTCCTCAAACCAGCCATTCTTCAACTGTGGCGGGGGTGTGGGGTGAGGAGTATATAAGCAGCTTCCTCCTCCTCCTCGCCTCCCCTCAGTTTTTTGTTTTGTTTTTAAAGACAGGATCCTCGCTTCGAGGCTAGCCTGGAACTTGATAGATAGGGCAGGCTATCTCAGTGGCGATCTCCCTTCTTCTCTATGCACTGCCAGGCTCGCCCTCTCTTCATCCTCATCTTTACTATCTAATTAGGTCACGCCCCTCCCCCTGAGATCCTTATGACTGGAGGATGAAGGACCACACACTGACTGTGCACACCTGTACTATACCAGACTCTGCACCGAGTATTTATGTTTGCCATATCCTCCAGTTATCAACAATAACCATAAGGTCAGAATTACTGTCTTGTTTTTATGAGGACGTCTGAGGCTCAGAACCATGCTCCCAGTGGCTTCTCTTTTCTGGGCAGGGAAACCCTCTGAGTCAAATCATCTATCTGCCGAGGAAGAAGGCGCAGATGAGGGGGTGTGCTACTGCCCAGGTGGTAGATGGGGGGACATTTGAGACACATCTATCTCTGCCTCACTGGGTGACACTGGCTTCTGTTTCTCAGCAAGGAAGCAAGGGCAACAGCAGGGCACCTCCTGGGCGGGGGCTGTGTAATTTCTGCTCAGCTAGCGCACAGGCTGCGGTGCACCATAACATTTATCTCTGAGCGACCTGTCGGAGAAAGTGGAGCCATTAATGAGCAATCAGAGAGTGGTCTAAAGCCAGAGTCCCAGCCGAGAGTGGCTTGGCAATGAGCAGCTTGTCTAAGGACACTTTTCCTGTCACCTTTGGGAGCGTGCCCAGACAGATGATAAAACACCCCGCAACGCGGGACAGCCTCTCCCACCAGCCCCACATGGAGACAATCGGTGATGAAAAAGCTCACCTGAAGGGCCCTTGCAAACCATTCATTGAGCCTGAAAAGCAAGCTGAGTTGATAAGGTCTCGAGTATGTTGAGAGTATACAGCAAACACCTGCCTTCTCCTTGTGCCCACTCATTTCGTCCTCCAAGTGACCCTGACAGGCCTTGTGCTATCCTCAATGTGAAGATGCAGCCAGAGAGGACCTAGAGGGAGGAAGCTGGTGGAGCTGACTAGCAGATTTTGTTACTGGGGATCAAACCCAGGGCTGGACATGGGCAGCGTGCTGAGCGCAGGCTCCACCACCGAGCTCACCCCAGCTTCAGCCTAGGCTCTCTGATTCCTCTGTTATCTTAATCACAGACAGGGAGGAGGAAGAGAAGAGAGCTGTGCAAGAATGGAAGGAGCAGCTCTGCCCTGTGGCGTCTCCAGTCATTAACTGAATCCCAGCATTTGCTGAGTCACTTTCATTCCCTGCTGAGGTCTGAAATAAATTTCAGAAGATGGCCACGTGTAGTGTGCCTCAGGATCCATAGAACCTGCCTCTCTGTGTCTGGTGGGACAGTGACCTCTTTTCTTTTCATTTCTCTTCTTTTCTTTTTTTTTTAAAAACAATCTTTTTTCATTTTACATACCAATCCCAGTTCCCACTCTCTCCCCTTTCTTCCCCTCTTGCCCCCGTCCACTCCCCAGAGAGGGTAAGGCACATTGCTTCGGGGAAGGTCCAAGACCCTTTCTACTATATCTAGGCTGAGCAAGGTACCCTTCCAAAGAGAGTGGGTTTCAAAAAAGCCAGTACAAGCAGTAGGGATAAATCCTGGTGCCACTGCCAGTGGCCCCGCAGTCTGCCCCAGCCATACAACTGTTACCCACATTCAGAGAGTCCTATGCTGGTTCCTTCCCTGCCCGGCTGGAGTTGGTGGGCTGCCATTAGCCCAGGTAATCTGTTTCAGTGGGCGAACCCACCATGGTCTTGACCTCTTTGCTCATATTCTCACTCCTCCCTCTCTTCAACTGGACTTTGGGAGCTCAGTCCAGTGCTCCGCTGCAGGTCTCTATCTGTTTCCATCAACTGCTGGATGAAGGTTCTATAGTGACCTTTATAATATTCATCAATCTGACTACAGGGCAAGGCCTGTTTGGACACCCTGTCCTCTATTCCTTAGGGTCTTAGCTGAGGTCATCCTTGTGGAATTCTGGGATTTTCTCTAGTGCCAGGTTTCTTGCTAGCCCTGTAATGGCTCCCTCAATCAAGATATCTCTTTCCTTTCTCTCATCTCTGCCCTTCCTCCAACTCAACTATCCTGTTCCCTCAAGTTCTCCTCAACCCTCCCCTTCTCCCCTTCTCCTCCCCTTCTGCCCTGTCTTCTACCCTACCCTCATGCTCCCAGTTTTGTCAGATCTTTTGTATTTCTCCTTTCCAGGTGGAGCTGTATATGTTTTTCTTAGGGTTTACCTTGCTATTTAGCTTTTCTAGGGTCAGGGACTATAGGCTCCTTATCCTTTGCTTTATAGCTAGTATCCACGTATGAGTGAGTACATACCATGTTCATCTTTAAAAATATGGAACACTTCACAAATTTGCATGTCATCCTTGCAAAGGGGCCGTGCTAATCTTCTCTGTATCATTCCAATTTTAGTATATTGCTGCTGGAGCGAGTACCATGACCTCTTTTTTAAATTAATTATTTGATCAACAAGTAAAATTATATATATTTGATTATATACCATCATATATGTGAAATGCTTACATCTAGCTAATTATCACATCTGTCACCCTCATAATCACCATTTTCGTAGCAAGAAAACTACTGAAACTGTTAGGAATTTCAGGTGTGTTCTCCATTACTACTGACCACCATGCACTGCAGCAGACCTGTGGAACTGAGTTCTCCTATCTAACTGAAGCTTTGCATCCCTTGGCTGTCACCTCCCGATTCAGAAGTCCTGACGCTTCTGTAAGACTTTGGGATCCTCAGATGACCTCCCATCACCCTCAAAACAAAGCATGAAATTTTATCCTAATACAGAATAAAAAACGATATTGTACTTTCTATTCTGGGCTCTCTGGACAACAATCAATGGAAAGCTCAATGATTATCAGTATCTCCCACCCAGTGGAAGTCATACCGGCACCTGTATGGCTTCTGACACAAGAAATAAACAATGGGCATCGAACCATACACCATCTTTAAAATGACATGCTATGTCCTGGGCACTATAGGAAGATTTTTTTTCTCCATTCTATGCTTTTCTACTTTTAAAAATTAAATTGTGGGGCTGCAGTCATCAGCAGAGAAGAGCACTGGCTCCTGTTCCAGAGGACCCAGCTTCAATTCCCAACATAAACAGAGTGGATTTCCACTGTCCCCGTGGATCCAACATCCTCTTCTGGCGTCCTCGGGCACTGTGCTCACATGGTACACATGCATGGACACAGATGGACACGCAGATAAAACATCCACATGCATAAATAAAATGAAAAGCTTTAAACTTTATTTACCTTTATAATATAAAAGAGCATACACTAAGAAGAATGCCTGATACACTGTGGTGAATCTGAGATTAATCACTTATGTGCCCCATACTCTGTTGCTCATAAAAGAGTCTATTGTAGGCAATGGAAATGTAAGGAGATGTAACTGGTACCGATTAGATGCCTTCCAACCAAATATAAGTAAGCAAGACAAACACATTAGCTTTCTGCATCAGTAGATCCATCCAATCATGGAGGAGGATGCGGTCAGATCAATAATAAGTGCTCTTGTTTGAGCACACACATCCCCTGAAACAATACAGCTATTTACATAACTTTTACATTATATATAACATATGGGTGACTTGAAGTACGCAGGAGGATGTTCATGGGATATGTGCAGACGTGATGCTGTTTCATGAGCTACTTGAACAGCATCAGCCTTTGGGATCTGCAGAGGTCTGGAAGACAGCCCGCTAGGGTTACTAAGAGATGAGACTATCTTTATCTGTGATCAACCTGGGATGGTCCTGCTTTCCCTTCCCACTGTCCTTGCTGGCACGCTGAGATTTTTGGATCTTTTCTTCATGACTCCTGGATTTGACTCATTCAAGGGCTGCCATGGAGTGGATCTGTCGGCCCCTGTAGCCCATTTGTGGTCCCTACTCTGTGTTTTGAAATCCTAGCTCTCTGCTTTTGTTTTCTTTCCCTTTAAAAAGTCATTGAAGTCCGGAGTGTTGGCAGTGACCTTTGGAAATGTTTTTACAGCTCACAGAGACTTCCTGACATGTTTTATTAGCTCTTGGTGGTAACTAATAAAGTGAGCTCGAACAAAACCGCCTCCTGGAGAACCACTCGCCAGACTTATCAGGAAGGAGGCCTGATGACAGGACTCAGGGCTACTGCTCTCAGCAGACCGGCTGAGGAAGGAGGGCATCCCTTCAGGGGACACAGTGACCAGCTCATTCTGAGAGAAGCTCCAGTGTAGAAAGTCCCTCGCCCCTGCCGAGCAGAGGCACCACTTCTGGAGGAATCAGCGAACCAAGTATTTCACAGAGCCTTCATTTTCTTCCCTTCTAGCAGTCAGATATGAGCCTGGACTGGCCAACTGCATTTCAAGCAGAAGGAGAGTGGCAAACACAACCCACTCTGACAGCTTAAGGTCTTTCTTCTGTGTCTTATGTTTTTCTGTGTGCAGAGTGTCTTAGCATAGAAGTATACAGTGTGGACTGTGGATTCCCAGAGACTTTCTTTCCACTTCTGCCTGTACACTGAAAGGCTGGGTAGTGTGGAGCAAATGGCTGCCCAAAACGTGGTTTTCTTTTATGGAAAGAGGGGATAGTGTTCATAGGGTCGTAGTAATGGCTAGTACGTGACAATATAAAAGAGTGCTTGAAAACAAAACACTTAAAACATAAACTAGAAAATTATTTCATCAGATTCCTTGGAGGGCCATACTGGGGACCGTTCGTGGAATGGCATTTATCTGCATGTCTCCTTTTGCCCAGGTCCACCATGAGTGCATGTCATATTCACACACACACACACACACACACACACACACACACACACACACTCATGAGCCGCTTCAACTATTGCTAGCATGACATTCGTCAGATTCTCCTGTTGTCTCTTCCTCCTCCAGGATGTCCTCAAATCCCTCATAGGCAACACTGATAGGAGCATTTAAATCCAGAGATGCCATCGCCGGGACATTATAGGGTTTTGTTAATTGCTGACCTGTATTAACATTTTAAATGGCCTTAAATTCACCCGCAAAGTCCACTCTGAGAGGCTGGAAGACAGTACATTAAATGAGGAAGAAAATCTTGGGGCAAGGGTTACTTCAAAAGCGGTAACATGCTGAAGGGGCTTCTGGGGTCTGTGCTGCTCAGGGCAGATGCTTTGCTTCCCAGGGGATGTCTGTAAAGTCTGCGTATAATTAGGGGAGGAGATGCTTTAGCCCCTGGGGAGCTATGGCTGGTTCTAAACATGCCCCCAATGCACATGAGACTATGTGAGTGTCTCAAAAATATTCACTCATTAGTCCTCACTAAGACTTTGGAACTATTGTCATCACATTTTAAAGATGAAGCTGCTGAGGTACAGTGAGCTACCCAAGATCACACAGGTCGTTAACGTGGCAGAGCTGTTTCTGGTCCAGGCTCTTCCCTCTGCTGTTTCCAAAGGGAAGGTAGACATCTGGCGAGAGACACTGTGGGATGGGGGCTACAACAGTGTGTGTAAAACATTTTGCCTGTTAAGGCTCATCATTTTTCATCCTTAAACATATTTAAGAATTTATAATATTCTTTCAACATAAAAGTCTTTCAGTGGAAATTTCACATCAAAAGCTGGGGTTGGTGGCAGAGATATATAATCCTAGCACTTGGGAGATGAGCGTAGGAGGATCAGGAGTTCTGGGTCTGCTTCAGCTACATAGTGAATTTGAAAGCACCTTAACTATGTAAAAACCAAATAGCGGAGAGAGGGGATGGGGGGAGGGACAGGGAGGTGGAAGAAGAGGAAAAAGAAGAAGAAAGGAATTCCTGTAGAATTTTGCTAATCGTGGTATACATTGGCAGTAAATACTTTAAATGACAGGTTGTTCATCTTCTCATGCATCCCTTTCCTTTCGCTCTGTCCAATGGCGGCATCCAAGTTCAGTTTTTGTTAGCAAGCCCATTTTGTCTAGAGATTTCCATGAAATGACAATGATTCATTTTCCCAGGCTTGTAATTGTATTTTTGGTACCCAGAAGCAACTGTGGCTCATTTCGCTGCTATTTGCAGATTGTGGGGAAGCCAACCCAAGCATCTGTCTTGGAGTGGCAGCCACGGGCAGCTGTGAAACTGCAGGTGTGTTGACTGTACAAGGCTGGGCAGGGAGGAGCCTTCCGCTCCCCGTACCCCAGTATCCCCAAGAGCGAGAGTACAGTGTGCGCTGGGATGAGAGATGTACCAGTTGTGAGCTGATACTTTGTCTGCTGCCTTACTCCCCGGAAAAGATAAGCTGATGTCTTTCTTCAAAATGTAATTCCTGTAGCTAATAAAATATTGGTGGACCCCAGGCTGACTGAGACTTCAGGGCCATCATGAATGTGATGACAACCAGCCTGTGACCCTTGTGTGCTACTCGCGTAGATTTTTAAATTCCTTTGAAAAGAGCTTCCATGTGGTGACTCTCTCTAAGGATAGAAATTTCTGGTATTTATACATTCTAGCAACTGAAAGGAAGCAATTCTTCATGCTCTTCTTGAGAAGGCAGCATTGGTGAAGCAGATCCTTCAGCCTGCTTTGGCTCCAGTTTGACAAGCGGCACTTCCAGACCTGGTGCCCAAATGGGTAACTGTTGCTACCGGAAATTTCTTCTGCCCCATAAAATTATTCTTCTCCGATGTGTCTGTAAGAATGGCAAGATTGCTGGGCGGTGGTGGCACACACCTTTAACCCCCCAGCACTCGGGAGGCAGAAGCAGGTGGATCTCTGTGAATTCAAGGCAGTCTGGTCTACAGAGTGAGTTCCAGGACAGCCAGGGCTGCAGAGAGAAACCCTGTCTTAAAAAACGAAAAAAAAAAAAAAAACAAGGTTACTAAACATGGCTAAATGAATCAGGTACTCATCGCAACTTCACTTCTGAAAATGACCAGAAATGCCTTACTGTGTCAGGTAGCCACCACAGCACAGCGGCTTTAAAAATGGCTGAGAGTGAGTGCATGCCTCTCCTTTTGTCCAGATGCTTTCCTTTCTGAACTTCGCTCACGAAGAGCAATGAGCGTAGCTGCTTTGCGGTCGTAGATATATAAATTCAAAGGTGCTTGCGGTGTCACAGGAGAGGGGGCATAGGCAAGCACTCCACCCTTGGGCTCAGGCTTGGGTACCGCCATTCTGTGAGCGTGTGCACGCTTGAAGAAGGGCAGCAGGTGGACGGCCTGTGTGCTTCTTGCTCCTTTGTGAAGACACCCGGGGGTCCACAGCTCACGGTGTGCAAACCTTCCCAGACATGCCTGAAAACCTTCCTTTGCCGTGTGTAGGTCACAAGGCACCCTTCTCTAAGATGTTTGATGGGCAGCATCCACCCCCTAGGGTGCTAGGCTTTTATCCCAGCAGCTGCAAGTAGGTGCTTGAGGAAGTGCCAGGCCTGGCCAGCTCTTGTGCTCGCTCAAAAGGGTTCAGACGGCAATTAA